ATTTATCTGAGCTCTCCTATTTCCTCTTCAGAGTGTTTTACCTTTTTACAACAATTTTATTTTATGTACTGTATTTCATTTGATCCACTCTGCTCTTTTGAATTAAATGCTGTTGCCAGCACCGAGACTCTGGATATATTAATATTGCAGGCTTACAGTGCTTTTATACGCCAGTTTAGCTGTTGTTTCTGCTCTCAAAAAATCTTGGGATCTGTAGTTTAGTGAGAGTGCTGAACATTTTATTAGAGACCTGAATTTCCCACATAGAATTACAGCTCCAAGGATTCCTTTGGGAAAAGAAATGGCTGTTAAACTTTATCCATATTAACAAAGCATAGGTTGCTCTGTTAATAATTACAAAAAGCACAGAATACGCTAGTTTGATGGGGACACAGTAAGCACTGTGCTTCCATATGAACCTGCGGGAGTAGAGTATTCTGATGGTGATGATGCAATGCCTTTATTTCACATGACTTTGAGCACAGTTGCAGTCTTACCCCATGAGCCAATTTGGAGAAGGTACTTGTGTGCCCTAAGTTGATGATCTTGCCTGGTGAAAGAGAGGCCAAAATATCTTGGTTGAGATTAACTCTTTTTCTAAAAATAAAATGCCATAAAACAGAAGGCCCTGGCCAGAAAGCATATATTTTTCATCCTCCCATTAGGATCAAAATTAATGGAAGCTGATGGTTGCTTGTCAACATCAGGCATACTGGGAAATATTGGTTTACTAGGTCCATCTTGGGACGCGGGTGGCGCTGTGGTCTAAACCACTGAGCTTGCCGATCAGAAGGTCGGTGGTTCGAATCCCTGCGATGGGGTGAGCTCCCGTTGTTTGGTCCCAGCTCCTGCCATCCTAGCAGTTCGAAAGCACGCCAAAAAGTGCAAGTAGATAAATAGGTATCGCTCCGGCGGGAAGGTAAACGGCGTTTCCGTGCACTGCCCTGGTTTCGCCAGAAGCGGCTTAGTCATGCTGGCCACATGACCCGGAAGCTGTACTCCGGCTCCCTCAGCCTATAGAGCAAGATGAGTGCCGCAACCCCAGAGTCATTCGTGACTGGACTTAACTGTCAGGGGTCCTTTACCTTTACCTTTAGGCCCATTTCAGGTTGGTTTCTCTTTTTGTGTTATTGGCATTGAGGCTTCAATTGTAACCTTGATTGGCAACATACACTTGCAGGTGAAATAGGAAAATTATCCCTTACTGTGACAGAGGTGAAGGGATTCTAAGTATGTGCAGGTTCAACTTACCAAACACTATGCATTCACATAATGAGTCAACAATTTCCATTATCTCCTATGGAAATGTTTCTAATGTGGGATTTGTCTGTCCCCTCTTCTCTTCATGGTTTCTTCCCGAAATGGCTGCAGCTCAGTCGCCAAAAGAGAGGCAAAGGGGGGCGGGGACTGTTTCCAACTGCTGCTGCTCTCCACCTTGTCTACACGTGAAACTCAAAAAATTAGAATATCGTGGAAAAGTTCATTTATTTCAGTAATTCAACTTAAAAGGTGAAACTAATATATGAGATACACTCATGACATGCAAAGCAAGATATGTCAAGTCTTTATCTCATATATTAGTTTCACCTTTTAAGTTGAATTACTGAAATAAATGAACTTTTCCACGATATTCTAATTTTTCGAGTTTCACCTGTATTTTTTCCTGCTGTGCAGTCTTGCTCCCTCTCCCTCTTTCCATGCTTTCTGCCTGAAAATGGCTACCGCCAACCAGCAAAGCAGAAAAAACACAGCAAATCTGTGGAACTTATAGTAAGGTTTGGATATAATTCTCATTCTTCATAATTTTCAGATAGTGAGCGTGCGAATAGCGGGACCTGCATATATTGCTGTTTCCCATCCTCCTTCATGGGATTAGTGTTTCGACGGGGTATAGGAATAAGGCGGGGGGGAGCCATTGTGTATACCATGGCACTGGCCATGTTGAAATAGTAGATACCACAACGTGACAGCAGTATAGACAATATTTGAAGATGTTGAACCTGAATGCAGTGCATCGCCTAAGAGTATTTAGTGGACCATGAGTGCATGAAATAATAAATGATTGCTGCAAGCACCATGTAAGACAACTTTCTTTTGTACTGAGGGAGCCACCCTTTATCCTTACTGAGACTACAAGAAACAGATCAAATTGAGTCTGATAATGAATGAAAACTAATGCCTTGAATTATTTGTTTAAGTGTAAACTGAGATCAAAAGTCCTGAAAGTTTGAGTTTATGCCTCCTCTGGTTTACGCCTGAACCTGTTTTATTTGAATTTTGTTGGTGACCATTCACTTGCTTATGTAAGAACCGTGTTGGCTGTCTCATGTTGCTGGCAGGTCATTGTATGTATGACGTAAGAAATCATACAGATGAATGAGCCTTTGTAAGGCTCATATTATTAGCCACATTCATTTTCTCACATTCTGTTGCTTTTCGTTCTTTGTCATCCATCAGTTTCCACTCCTTAATATTATTGACTATTTGCTTGCTGCTTTTTTTTTGGGGGGGGGGACACGTTAAAAAGGCACGCTTTGCAGAATTGCAGTCTGGACCTTCCCCTTTCGCTGGAGCCAAATTCAGCGGTGTGGGGGTTTTTTTGTTTTCTTTCCCCCTATTCTGGCTCTCAGGCACATAATTGTGCTATTTTGGTTCTATTAAGCCTTTATGCAAAGACAAATGAATGGCCCTGGGTGACATTATGCTGTGAAAATGCAGCAACACACAAGGAGCTGGAGGTAGACCGGCCTCTCCAAGTATAGCTTTTTAGATGAGGTTTAACCAGCAAAAGGGGGAATAGCTTTAAAGCAAAATGTGAGCTTATATTTCCCAAATACTCCCCTTCCCCTTTCTCCAATCACGTCAAGCAAGAACTGAAGCTCTTTGTGTGCAAAGCTGTAGCAATGACTTCAGAGCTGGATTTTGAAACAAAAAAAGAAGCAGCATGTTTTCTCTTTTCATACTGGAATATTAATAAATATCAGATGGTAAAATATAATTGAACAAAACCAACTATTGAATATGTTACCTTATTTTTATCTCTGTTTTTGCTTGTGGTTTTGCCAACCCTAGCACTTAATTAGCTGGCTTCCTTAAAGCTTTAGACAGTCGCTTAGCATTGTTCAGTGTGTATGTGAACACAATTTCCCCTTATTGCTGTTTCTTCCATGGATCTCATTTATTAGGTAGGTTTCTAAAGCTATGGTGTTTTCTCCTTTTCTATCTGCTGTGTGTAGAGTACTGACAACTGTGGAAAATGAGGTCCAAAATCTGTGACCTTGTTATTTATTTGCCTTCATCCATCAACATCCTTGCTTATTTTGCCATATGGAAAGGCCTATGATTGGCCTTGCCTTATGCTTCTATTTCATTGTGTGCTGTGTATGTGAAAAAGGTCAGGACAGGACCTGACTCCATTCAAAATTACAAGGAAGGCATGTATCAAATTAGTGTACACTCCAGACCCCCCAACAGAAACTCCAGTGGGATTTTCCTCATGCTCCAATCGACTGTTTCAGTTTTCATTAGAAAGTGGTGCAGTTCCTTCCCCAGAGGAAAGAACAGCTCTGCTATTCCCACCACCGCCACATGCAAGTGAACACACAGCTGGGTTAAACTTCGCTGTTTTGGGTAAGCTGGTCATTACGTGTTGGATGCAAGACCTCCATGGGAAACTTACAAGGTTGCAAAAGTACTACTTTCTATACCTCAGAACCACGTCCTTTGGAGCCTGAGTCATTCGCACACCATCAGAGCATCACAATTTGTTACTACTCAGAACTTGGAACCACACAATCAAAGAGTCCTAATAAGTTCCTGGGAACTGTTTGTGCTCAGGCTGCATGCCATGTTGTTGTTTAGTCATTTAGTCGTGTCCGACTCTTCGTGACCCCATGGACCAGAGCACACCAGGCACTCTGTCTTCCACTGCCTCCCGCAGTTTAGTCAAACTCATGTTTGTAGCTTCGGCAACACTGTCCAACCATCTCGTCCTCTGTTGTCCCCTTCTCCTTGTGCCCTCAATCTTTCCCAACATCAGGGTCTTTTCCAGGGAGTCTTCTCTTCTCATGAGGTGGCCAAAGTATTGGAGCCTCAGCTTCATAATCTGTCCTTCTAGTGAGCACTGCATGCCATAGAAGAGGACAAATGTTTTCCAACAAGCTTCCTTCATATGGGGTTTCTTGCAAAGCTTGATATAAATACAGTGGTACCTTGGTTTACAAACAGTCCTGTTTAAGAACGATTCCGTTTACGAACTCCGCAAAACCGGAAGTAGAGTCCCGGTTTGTGAACTTTACCTCGGTCTAAGAACTGAATCCGAACAGTGGAAGGGCACCGGCAGCGGGAGGCCTCATTAGGGAAAGCGCGCCATTTAAGAACGGACTTCCAGAACGGATTAAGTTCATAAACCGAGGTACCACTGTATACCTTCTGACCTTGCTTGGTTAATAAATTGGTATCTTTTGCCTTCTGCACTACTGAGGTGGCCAAACCCCAACCACCAGAGTCCCAGGCTGCCTGGGGAAGGAAACTGGGTGCAACAGAGTGTACTGCTCTGCTTGCACCAACCCTTTGCCCACTTTGATGTATCCGACACCACCAGATAAGAGGCAGCCTGGTAAATAATTGATCCCTTATCGAAAAGCCTCCAAAAGCTCCATTGGATCCCTCTGAAGCCTGCTGAAGTAGTAAGAGGTTAAAGCCACAGGTGTGAGGGTGCTGAAATAAGCCAAGACCACACAGGATTTCTGAAACAAGAGTTGAATTTCCCAATATAAAAAGATACATAAACAACTGACAGCTCATGCTGGACTAAGAATCCCTTCACCTCTGTCACAAGAGACAATTTCCCCAAGTGTACATTGCCAATCAAAGTTACAACTGAAGCCTCATAGGATCATAGAATTGTACAGTTGTACAGCCTCATAGGATAATAGAATTGTACAGTTGGAAGGGACCCCAAGGGTCATCTAGTCCAACCCCTGCAAGGCAGGAATCCTTCACCCAATGTGGGGATCGAACCCCCGATCCTGAGATTAAGAGTCTCATGCTCTACCCATTGAGCTATCCCTCAGTGCCAATACACAGCAAGAGAAACCAATCTTGGATGGACCAATGCTACTTCCATTAACTTTGTTCATAATGAGAGGATGAAAAATAGGTTGTAGCTGGCCAGGGGCTACTGTTTTGTGGCATTTAGCTTTTACTTGCAATCAGCAGCTAGCCATGTTGTCAGCCACCATTATGATTATGTCAGGTGACTGACAGGTGGGTGGTGGTCTGACAAACCCTTTTGAGGTTAAGACTACAGTCCTGAGCTTCTTAACCAATGTGGCTCCTCTGAATTCCAGTGGGTAATCTTGGGGTAAACAGGATCCCCCCCCCCGTTAATGCCTTCATGTTTTCAAATACATCTCTGCAACCAGAAAGGCCACACATTTGCGGGGCAGGGTTGAGGGGTGGAAAGGGAAATTAAGACTGAGATTCCCAGGAATCTGGATTTGGCAGCAGATAACTGGATTCCACCCAGTAATCCACATACGTGTATGACAAATAGCCTTGCTAATAGATTCGGAAGGCTCTTAATGGCTGAAGTCTCGGCTGAGCAATTAAGTAGAGTGACCGCATGTGAGCTGCATGTCCTGGAGAGAGGCAGATGAATTTCCCCTGAATTATTGAAAATAATCACAATCTGATTTAGCAGTGGGAGTGTGTGTCATGTTTCAGCTTGATACAAAATCCTGGTATTTGGGGATTCTTTCAGGAATCTTCCATCCAATGTGGGAAATCATATTGTCAGACTAGTCTTCATCCCAAGAGTTGCCATTGTCTTATGACAATGCGGTTTTTGAGTCTCTCTCTCTCTCTCTCTCTCTCTCTCTCTCTCTCTCTCACACACACACACACACACACACACTGCTTAGACTGTGTGTCCTCAGCCAGCAAAATGTATTATTTTCTTAGACAAAAGATTAAGGTTTTGATTGGCTGCTTTATCAGTAGACTGAGGTTCTTACTTGCAGCTGTCCTGAGAGGCCTTCTATAAAATTGCAGGTGTTCAGTTTTAGCAAATAGTTGTTATTATATGGCTCCACTCTTGGCAGCTAGTAACAATGTTTCCTGAAATTGAAAAATGATTTTCTACCTTAAGCAGGAGTTTTACATTACTAGAATGCTGAAGGGGAGCAGGGGGAGAAAGAAAGCAAGGAAAACCAAACCTCTCATCAATACACTGGATTTGGTTTCATTGCTTGTGTGTATTTCCCACTTTTGCACATATTTTTCTACACTATAGTCCCCCCCTTTTTTTTACTGAAGTGATTACACCTGAAGCTTTTGCCAAAGCAACTCTAACAATGGTGAACTAATTATCAAGAGTTAGATGGTGTCCCCACCTCCCCCACTTCTAAGAGAGGACCAGCACTTGCTTCTAACCTTCCAGAAAAGCCCCTTTTGCGCTTAGAGCGGCAAAATATATTATTCTCCCAAAGGTTTACGTGTCGCATGGCCACATGATGAATGTCGAAAATGCTGCCAACACGTAAGCCTTCGGAAGAAGAGTCCCTGCTCTGCGGTGTGCAGGTGTGGGAGGATGTTTTTTAAGCCATGAGAAAAGCTCACTCAGCCACCTTACTGGTTTATTACAGTAAATGGAAACCACGCTAGCACCACCCCTGGAAAGTTCAACAAAGTTCTTCCCCCCTCCCCTGCCTCTTTGCTTTGATTCACACCCACCTACCTTGAAGTGCCAGGGGTGGGGAGAGACACTGCGAAAGGTTTGTCACAGTACTCGTTACAGCCAGTTGGCGAGTGGCCATAGCTGCAGGGGACAGAGGTAGGAGATGTTTCCAAGCATAGCCACCTCCAGTTTTTCCTCCAACTGTCGCTGTTGCTTTACTTCAGCTGCATTTGCACCCACAAGCACATCTAGAGATAGCTATTAGAGTTTGATAAGCTCCTAATGTGCTCTAATTTGGCATCTGATAAAGGAACTGCCACCATGTTCTGAACTGAGAGTTCAGAAGAACTGACCCTGAGGGTCAGACCAAGCCTGACACAAGGAAGCTGATATGTAAGCATTGGAGAGAAGAACCCCGCACTACATTGTTTGGGAATATGTCGTGAGCAATATGCTGATGACACATAGCTCTGTTTCTCCTTTAGATCTTCAAGTGAGGCAGTGCGTGTGCTGGACCGTTGTCTTGCTTTGGTAAAGGACTGGATGAGAGCCAACAAACTGAAGCTTAACCCAGATAAGACTGAGACACTGTTAGTGGGCGGTTCCCTAGACCGGACGGATGGGAGGTCACCTGCTCTTGATGGGGTTACACTCCCTCTGAAGGAGCAGGTACATACCTTGGGTCCTTTGCTGTCACTTGAGGCTTAGGGGGTCTTGGTGGTAAGAGTGCCTTCCATCAGCTTCAGCTGGTGGCCCAGCTGCACCCCTATCTACACAGGAAAAGCCCAACTTCTGTTGTCTATTTTCTGGTAACCACTAGGCTGGATTACTGCAACGTTTTATACATAGGGCTGCCGCTGCAGATAGTTCAGAAACTTCAGTTAGTGTGGAATTCAGTGGCTAGGTTGCTCACCGGGGCAAGATGGTTTGAGCATATTACTTTGATCCTGACTCAACTGCACTGGCTGCCAATTAGTTTCCCAATTCAAAGTGCTGGTTTTGACCTATAAAGCCTTAAATGACTCAGGACCACAATACCTCAAGGACTGCCTCTCTTCATATAAACCTACCCAGACCCTGAGATCACCCTCTGAGATCCTTCTTTGTGTGCCTCCTCCACATGAGGTGTGGAGGGTGGCAGCATGAGAACAGGCCTTTTCTGCAGTGGTTCCCCGTTTGTGGAATGCTACCCCCAGGGTCGTTCAGCTGGCGCCTTCCTTAGATACCTTTAGGCACCAGGCAAAAACGTTTCTCTTCAACCAGGCATCTGACTAATATTCTACAGCCTTTTAAATATGTCTATGGGAAGGGAAGCGTTATTGTTTTGTTGTTTCTGTTTTAACTATTTATTTGTGCTTTTATCATGTATTTTTATCTTGTGAACTGCCCTGAGATCTTTTGATGAAGGGTGATATATAAAGCTAATGAATAATATAAATATAAATAAAGACCTCCAGGCTACCACACAACCATATTTATTCCAATTAGAGTAAAATGTACAAAACCTATATGGTTGGATCCAGATTTTAGTAACAAACACACACCAACCAACCAACCAACCAACCAACCAACAAACCAGAGCTCTTTATAAGTTAGAGGTCATGGAGAAAAGTGAATTCCTTTTACTTTTTCCTAGGAAAAAAAATGGACTAGAGTGGCGTAATCTACTCTGAAGACCTGTGCCTGCAAATTTCTTTCACTTTGGCCAAAAGGGGAAAACACTATAACTGTTTTAGATTACCCATTAAACTGAATGGAGAATCCAGGGGTTTTATACAGAGGGAGCACAGAGTGATTCAGAAACAGATTGGAATTTTTAGAAATACAGAGATACAGATAAAAGGCAAATACTGAATGAATGAATGTTCATTATTACGGCTAAACAGCCAGCATAGAAGAACCAGAATTTCAGTATAATCAATATACTTATTAAAATATGCATCCAAGGAAATATAAACTCCATTAAAAGTTTTTTTTTTTTTTAAGAATTTGACTGTGAGCTGTGTCAATTTATGACTGTTTGTGGAGCTGAATAATATTTTGCTTTATCTGACTTATGGCTATTGCACAAAATCTAGCCACATTTCTGGTGACGTAGGAATTCCAGTCGGACAAGAGGTAACTTAAATAGTATTCCTCTGTCCTCCCTGGTACTTTTCATACAAGCGGCGTTATGAGGGAGGCTCTGATATCTGAAAAAATCTGTAGTAGAAAAGAACATGACCCACAGTTTCAATTTGACCACTTTTACATGGGCAGATCCTCTTGCCGTCGGGAGTCCTTTTGTATCGTGCACATGGCAAGACATTAAATTTGGCTTGCGTCAATGCCTTTCTAAATTTGGGGGTGGTCAAGTTTGTCAAATAATTGGGAAGTGCCAGTGCCATTCTGTTTGTGCAAAGCATGGGATATAGAGCAGCTTGGGCTAATGGTTTTGTAGTTCAGTATCTCTAATTCTCTGTGAAATGTTCCTTTTTGCTGTATTGCATCCTTGGGTTAGGATGTTCTGGTGGAAAAACCCAAGTATAATAATTTGGTGTTCAGTTTTCCCCCCAATTGGAGGTAAATATTGAAGTTCATGCACAGTCTTAATAAATCCTGTTGATATATACATTAATACAGATAGAGGCATATACATGCAAGCCACCTGAATAAATGGAGTAGAAAAACCTAACTTCAGGGTTTAAAAAAGAGAAATTAAAGTAGCATTGTAGATAATTAACAATGCAATCACTTGATATCTTCACATTTTGCGGGGGGGGGAGGAGTGTTGCAGGAATAAGAAGGTACGGAGTGCTCTGCAAACATTAGCACCAACCTATCTGATGCTTATTATCTCTTAATAATAACTCTCTCTCTCTCTCTTACAGACACAGGTTACAGCTGATGACATAGAATGTTCATTGTAGAGATTTCCTTTTATCTCCTTATCTGCCCATTTCTCACTCCCATTTGTAAAGAGCTCTCCAAGTTTACTCCATCACACAAATGTATCACTTTCAAAGACTTTGCTTTTCAGGCCCATGTCAGTCTCACAGATTAGAATGTGATATGAATCCGAGGCTGCATAGTTTCTTTAAACCTGAGCCAGTAGCACAGCTACACCCTTTCATCTGGCAGAACCCAGGACTTTAAAGTGAAAAGCTTGTTGTTGATTTAATCCTGTTTCCAGTCTATGCAGGTCACCTGAACTGCATTGCTCTGAATTTAAATGTTCACACATGATTTTGTGTTGCAAAGTTTGTTTGTTTGTAAAAAACACGGGAAGACCACACTTACAAATATAAAATATTACACGAGCGGATTGACTTTTTCCAGATTCCAGATATGTTGACAGAACATTTTCTGTCATGTAAAGATCAGGCATATATAAGGATTTTTCATAAAGATATATATAT